AGAAACATCGATGAGAGAGAAACATCGATCAGCTGCCTCCTACACACTCCCCTCTGGGGATGTGCCCGCAACCCAGGTCCATGCCCTTATAACCGGAATCGAACCTGGGACCTTTCAGTCCGCAGGCCGACGCTCTATCCACTGAGCCAAACCGGTTTCGGCGGCATTCAGATTTTATAGGATGTTCAGTAGAGGATAAGAGCTCTAGAAAATGCTGTTAATGAAGTACTTTTGACTCTGCAGTATCTGTATGTATTAATAACCTCCCTCTAGCATCCAAAACCAACTTCAGAGAGAAAAATAAAGGCCTAGAACTTAATATCTAAAAAGAGTTTTCCATAAAGTTTCACCTGTTCAATTGACATTAAGAAATGTGTGGAAGCACTTAAAACTGTGGCCACACCATAAGACAAGAGGCTAATGCTTCGCTATCATTAGCAGCATTGTTGTTTCCACAGTTTGAGGTCAGCAGTGAGAGGAATCAAGCCATCAAGGGATTACACATCGTTTCAGAGATAGCTGATTAACACCTCAATCTTGGGTTGGTGCTTGAAATCCCCCGCCCCCTATCTATCCCCAACCCTCCTCAAGAAAAATCATTCCTTTGGCTTTAGACTTTGTCTTGTAAAAATGCAAAATCAAGTACCACTAGGTTGACAGCACTTTAAGCTCCAGGTCTTATTTACGAGGGAGCGTCTCCAGGTTTATTAGATTTCTTTAAGGCGAGTTTTACCCAGGAAAGGAAGGGGAGGGTTTCAAGGCATGAAAAACAATCTTGGGGCCGAAGGTGGACATGTGAGAAGAGAGTTTTCCAACGAGAGAGATCAAAATGTGCCAACAAGGCAGTGAATTATAACCGGCAAATCCTCCCCCTCCTTTTGCTAAAATCAATTTAGTCTTCCCCCGCCCATTTCCTCAAAATCGGCGTTAGAGCGAGAGGGCTGCTTTGTTTACAGGGAAACTGACCCAAAGAACAGAAGGCAAAGGAATCTGAAATGTACAGAACCTTGGGCAAGGGTGTTGATTGTTAGAAGCACAATGTGTCTATTTGCTGGTAGAAAATCGTGACTTGCCAGCCTTTAAGTAAGGCACAGATTCTTCTGCAACCGCTGGGCTGGAGCCGAAATCTCTACCTATCAGGCACGAGGCAGGCGCAGAGCCCGGAAAAGTGTGTGTGCGGGTGTGTTGAGGGAAGGGGAGGGGAGGAGGAGGGACAGGCGAACCCGAGGGCTCCAGGAAGTGGGTGGGGAGGAAGCCGCAGAGGTTGGAGCCAACCGGGTCACTAGCAGGGCTGCGGACGCCTGGCTGGGGGAGTCCCGGGTCACCGCGCGCCACGGTCACGAGCGCTTTTGGCAACGCTGTCCCCTTCGATTCCCGTCATCACCCAGCCGTACCGCTCGGGTATGGGACGTAAAAAGGGCTTGCAAAGTGGGCGGCGGCAGGAGTTTTCCCCGCTGAGTCACAGCCCAGCCAACTTTTACAGCATTTCCCCAGGAAGAAAACAAGAAGTCTCCGTCCCGTAGCCCCCCGCGCGCTCCTAGTTCCCGCTATCCGCCCGGGGCCGCTCGACCCAGGGGTGACTCCAGACCCACAACTGGGCTGCTGGCCACTCATCGGACAACTTCTCACCCGCTCCAAGCCTCGGAGTACCCCGGGCGCTTGCCAAGCGCTCCCA